CCCTCGGGTGATAGCAGCCTTCTTGAGGAAAAGTCGGATGACCCTGAGGGTGCCGACCGCGCGAGTGCCACCAGCGGCGTTGAAGATGGCGGTGATTCCGGCGAGCGCGACACGTTTGTCGACGGCGAGAGTGGAGACGAGTATGAGGATGTTCCTCCTGCCGCCGGTCGGGAGCAGCAGGGGCGTTGGGCCGATGAGGAGGAACCCGAAGATGAGGAGCCCGAGGTTCTTACATCTCCGGCTGGCGCACCCATTGTGGAGATGCTGAAACAGCACCACCGTGATGGGACCGAACCTCCCGAATGGCTCATGTCCATTGTACTGCCCGCCAACTCGCGAAAGGTGAATACTGTAGGTGGTAGCATGCCTGCTGTCCGACACGAACCCAACGTTGGTAGCGAGGGTAGTGCCCGCCCGAACCTCCGGCGTGACAACAGCATACCATCTAGTTTTGCTTCACAGCAGTCACCTATCCCGTCTCAGCAATTAGTAAACGATTTTTCTCCGCAATCCGTAGAGACCCCACGAGAAATCGACAACACCAGCAGGACTAGCGACCCTCTAGTGATGTCGAATGCCTCACCTACACACTCTACTGTGCGCGCTGATGAACACCCGTCAGCGCACACTGCGGGTACGAATGCTCGTTTCGTCTTAACCCCTCTNTGGCGCAATACCGTGCACGTGTGAAACTGAACTCAGTCGACAACTGCCCTGACCATGTAGTCGACCAACGTGCTGTGCGATACCTCCCGCTTCTTCTGCGAGGGGCTGCGTACGATACCCTGTTGCAGTTGACCCAGGGAACGCTCGAGTGGCGTAACGCAGAACAGTTAGCTGAGCTTCGTGCAAAGGGTGCAAGTACTCGGCCGGTGGCTCCTTCCTCCTGGGCCGAATACTGTCGCGCCCTTTACTTTCAGTTCTCCGCTCCCAACCGCATTTCCACTTTGGCCCGACAATTTGCCACTTTGGAACAGGCAGTACNGTGGCTCCTTCCTCCTGGGCCGAATACTGTCACGCCCTTTACTTTCAGTTCTCCGCTCCCAACCGCATATCCATTTTGGCCCGACAATTTGCCACTTTGGAACAGGCAGTAGATCAGTCCGTGGATACCTATGCATTGAGAGTCACACAAGCACGCGCGCGCCTTATTGCGGAAGCTACTCGATCCGCCCCGCCGAATATCAGCCCACACGAACACGCATGGGATGTATTTACCACTGCAACGTTTGAGAACGGCTTAATCCAACAATTCAGAGTGGTGGTAGCGCCGTTGGTAGACCTCACTAAAAAAAGAGCACGTAAAATCGATTGCAAAACGTTGGCGAAACGAACATGATGAGGCGTTTGCGACAGTCAAACGACTCTCACGGAAGCACCTATTTTACACTTTCCCGATATTANGCCGTTGGTAGACCTCACTAAAAAAGAGCACGTAAAATCGATTGCAAAACGTTGGCGAAACGAACATGATGAGGCGTTTGCGACAGTCAAACGACTGCTCACGGAAGCACCTATTTTACACTTTCCCGATTTTACAAAAGACTTCGTCGTGCACGTGGATGCCAGCGAAGCAGGTGCTGGAGCTTTCCTCGCGCAGCAAACAGGAGATGACCTCAACATTATTGCGTATTTCAGCCAACGATTCAACAATGCTCAGCGCCACTATTCCCCAACCATGAAAGAATGTTACGCCGTCGTACTGGCAATACAGCACTGGCGGCCCTATTTATGGGGCAGACATTTTGAAGTTGTGACGGACCATGCTGCGTTGAGATACTTGTACACCATGCAGGACACTTCAAATATGCTGACTAGGTGGGCTATCGCTCTGCAGTCGTTTGACTTTACCGTGCGACACAAGCCGGGGAGGTTACACGTTGTTCCGGACACCTTATCTCGGTTGTTTGCTTTTGAGTACCAGCAACACTTAGAAGCCCCGAAACTAACACCGATTTGTAGGAATGTCCCCAAGGATCCTGCTTTGCATGTAGCTGTACCGAACAGACCTTATCAAGTGCCAGCAGACCGCCTGGAAAATTTAAAACCAGTGCAAAGTGATCGCGAATTGTTTACCATCAATTCGGTTTACATCAGCGCGACCCACGTTTGTTTTTGAAACGATGAACCGAGACATCTTGCGAAAAACACAAGCAGCCGAGTATGGGAAATACATCGACTATCTTGTGGGGGAGAACGCACGAGTCCCGGACAACGAAACAGCAACAACCATGTCCTATTATTTTCTACGAGACGGATTGCTGTTCAAATCGTATTTACCAGGTTACCTCAGGAAACGGAGTACTTTCACTGATCAATTAGTATTGCCGCAAGCTCTCACGGGCTTAGTTTTGCACGCTTACCACGATCACGTTTTGTCCGGAGGTCACCTAGCATCTAGACCGACTTATGACAAGATCCGCCAGAAATATTGGTGGCCGAACATGAGTCGTGACGTTCGCACTTGGTGTCAGGAGTGCCAAGCATGCCAACGTCGGAAAACCGCGCACAATCGCACCAAATTGCCAACTGGACACGTACCAGTACAACGACCGTTTGAGCGAGTTTGAGTGGACTTAGTTGAATACAAGAGCGAATCGATGTCAGCCGCCGGCGTACGATGCAAATATGTCCTATCCATGATGGATCATCTAACCCGATTCACCGTGTTGACTCCGATTCCGAATAAATCAGCTGTCACAGTTGCTCAGGCTATCATTGACCGCATCATAGGCATTTTTGGACCGCCTGAGATGTTGCATTCTGATCAAGGGCCTGAATTTGAGAATAGTGTGATCCACCAGTTACAGAGTATTCTGAACTACAAGAAAACCCGCACAACGCCATATCGTCCGCAAGGGAATTCTGTGTCGGAACGACTACATTCAACGATGCACGCAATGCTTGCCATGCATAGTTCAATGAAGCGTGATAACTGGGCATCGCTACTACCTTTCATACAACTGGCGCATAACACTTCTTTTAGTGCTACCATGCATGAAACTCCATTTTTCCTCATGTTTGGCAGACAACCACGACTACCTGTCGATATCATTCTCGGTATTCCTCATGTAGGAACAACAGCCAATACCGAAGAACTTGCAAAAGACACGCGGGAAAAATTACAAATATCTTTCGAATTAGCGCGCCGAAACTTAACGGAACGTTCAAAAAAGCAAGCGGCGAGTAATTCAAAACTTAGACCGATTGCCGTGTTTAAACCTGGCGATCAAGTACTGGTATACAGACCATATCAGGATTCAGATGGCCCCAACCCGAAATTGCTGTTACCTTGGCGGGGACCATACGTCGTCTGCTCGCAACTATCACCCATAGTATACCGAGTGAGACGCCCAAAAGAAACTCGAGAAGTTTCGGTTCACCTAGCCCATATTAAACGATATTTTGCGAGGAAAACACCGCCTGCGCCCGACTTTGATAAACTCGCTGAGTTCTTTTTAGGGCGACAGATTCCGTTACCCGCTATCGATCACCCTGATGAGGCCCAACCAAGAATTGAGTCTTATGTTGTAGACAAAGTGGTAAGCCACAAGAGTGGTCGGGGTCCGAGGACTCCTTTTAATTACCGATGCCGTTTGCGTCTTCGCGGGTGTGGCCCGGAGTCAGACCTCGAATACCGCGCAGACCGCGCAGATGAGGTACCACAATGTCAAGAAAACTATATTTTTCCATACCCTCGGGACATGGAGAGATAGTGACGGTGAAAGGGGTTATTGTACAATTTTTGGTACACCCTATTTTATTAATTTTTTTTCAGTGTTCTTGGGAAAACACTGGCGAGGAGAGAGACTTACGACTTATTNTACGGTTTCAACAGGCGAACGACAGATCGATTTCACCGGCCCCCATTTACGTTGTGTCCACTCCTTGGTTCTCGGCTATATCTTGAGTGCATTTTCGACGAAGATCCATTCAAGTAAAAAAAAAAGACGGAATCAAGATATTAACACGGTTGGCCACGCGACCAATTTTCTTCCGTGATTATTTGTCATTTTGCGACATATATATATTTTTTTTCTTGCACTATCATCCAGCAAGCGCCTGATGCACGCGTGCTATGACGAACAGTGCATGAGTAAAATGAGTTACCAGTTTCCGTGACACATCGGTAAACTGTTTTGTAGCCAAAAAGTTTTTTTTTCCCAGGCATGGTATCAGTTTCAAACTGTTTTGTAGCTGNTTATCATCCAGCAAGCGCCTGATCCACGCGTGCTATGACGAACAGTGCATGAGTAAAATGAGTTACCAGTTTCCGTGACACATCGGTAAACTGTTTTGTAGCCAAAAAGTTTTTTTTTCCCAGGCATGGTATCAGTTTCAAACTGTTTTGTAGCTGAAACCATGTTTGCTATTCAACTGTAGCAGTAAGCCAAGGTAGCGGTCTAGTCGGAGTCCCAGCCTCGGAGGTACTTACGGTGGTCACACCCGTAG